AGCAATTGATATCCCAGACGTCTTGTGATAATAGAAATAATAAGAAAATATAACAATGTTTGGAGATATATTTTCATACATGTTTTTCATTCTGACTTATAATAAATATCTAGACGATGAATAACAGGTGGATGCGGATACTTTTACAAATATCCATGTTTTAGGACCCAGAAATGCAGAATGTGCTGTTTGTTTACAATTCATTACATTACAAAATATATAGTTGGAATACGTTTTATATGCTTTTTTTAAAATAACAAAAATCGGTACATTTCTACAGGTATGTGTTATGTACAACACCCTGTACGTGATATACACACAAAACTAGATTGCAATGCATGAACAGTCGACAAAAACAGTGAAAACATCCTACCAAATGTAATAGCTATAAAATCGACCTATTGTTTCTCTCATTTTCATTGACCGTCTTTTCTGAAATGGTAAAAATTTGAAATTCTATGAAAATTATCGTAATTCTAAAGCACTAACACATAATATTACATCTATAATGTACCCTTATTTAAAAGGCAACCATTTTTCACAATTTTATTCAGCATTTCAATAGAAATCACTGATATTCAGAGAGCTTTGACAGCTTCCGTCAAATTGCATCATTGGTCCAAGGGACCGTTAAATATTAATGTTGGAGAAATTGGCGCTTAGTCAGTTTAGAAATATGGTAAACAAGGTGCCTTTAAGCTCTCTATAGCAGTCGCAGTGCCCACTTACGGGGCTGCACCAGTATAAAAAACGTACACCAATGCTTGACACGCAATATTGATTGACTCCGCCGCTGTACCTCATAGATTATAGTAGTAATTCTGCTGCATCCGCAATACTCCTTAACAGCACGTATTTCTGTATGGGGCACAGCGCCACTCGCCCAAGCTGAGTATTTTTGACCGGGTTGCGTGCGAACCGGCACTTTAATACCAATCTAATTCACATCAATCTAGGCATAAGTGTATAGCGGCGTAGCCAATTTTATGTAAGACTTAGCCTTACATTTAGCTGAGTCGGGTCAAGGAGAACTGTAAAGGATCGATATAAGTTAACTGGTAAAATCATGGAAATGGCCTAGGATAAACAGAAGCTGCTTGCTGTGACTCTAACCAACCATATACAAAGTTGTTTCATGCTTTTTAGCAATCATCAGTATGGTATAAGTCTAGTCTTTGTGAATAGATATCGGGAAACAAGCGGAAATAGGTCTGGTGGAAATTTCCCACACTCTCCATTTTAAGTATCGGTCTAGGAAATCAGTAAAAGTCAAATGAGGCTTCTCGAAACTATTTAGTCTAAAATGGACTACTCGTGTTTATTTTACAGCCAAATCTTTTACACTATCGTCAATGTCAATATGTTTGTCACGTTCAGATGTCGAAATAGTTAAATTTGAGAGTCTCAACTTGGAAATAGTCGATGTGAGATAATTCACAATTAGCTCAAGCTTAGCGAACCTTCTCTCGCAATTAGAATCCTCATGGCTTTCAATTATCACGTATCTTTGTGAGAAATATCCGGAGTGCTGTCATCATTTTTAATTTCAGGTGACATGTAAGCGAGAGATATGTTTAGACCCATTTTTACCCTTCCTTACATCAATTATAAAATTTCCTCTGTTAGTAATGGCGTTATCGTCCCTGCGGTCACGAACCGGCAAATTTTGTTTTGTCAGAAATTGTATTGTCAAAATTTCGTTTGCGACTAGTGTTGAATCCGTGAGAGGAATAAAATTTCCACGCATTCAGTGGATTGAATTTCTTAAATAAGCGACAACAGAACCAAAACAATAAAACTTTAGAAGGAAAATATGCCATCCAAGAACGGAAGAATCTGTGTTTGAATAACCGTGGGAGATTTTGTAGCCCTTTCAGAGAATCCTGTATTCAGGTATTGAATAACTTCTGGGTTCCTCTGTATCCACAACAACTTTATGTTTGCATCTATACATCCAGGCCAATTCCCAATGCTATTGCGATCAAAATCGTATGCAGCGTTTGCGGTTGTTTTTTCTTTCGATGTAGAAATTTCAACAATTGCAGCAGAAGTATTTCAAACTGAAAAACTAGTACTATTAATCAAAGGTTGCAAGTTCTCGGTATCAGGTATTTTTCTATTTGAGCTTCTGGTGGAAACAATAATCAAGTTCTTTACTCCACAACATACTCGCACTTGTTTCCAAAGACAATAGGTATAAAACGAAAAGCGAAGGTTGTGTAATCAGTTTCGTTTCTCAACGGGGTTGGACGCTATTTGGGGTTTGAAATAGGATTTTTTGATTTATGCTTCAAAAAATTGCTCCATTTGCCGCCTTCTCTATCTACCACCTGGGGCCGTGCAGTTTTTCCGCTTTTTGGTCCCTGGCGGTACCTCATCAGGCAGTGCCATGTTGCTTCACGCGCGCGTCACATCGCGCTAACAAATGTCATAAACGAAATTTGTATTTATTTAGTATCTAGAGTTTTTAAAAGGGATGGTAGCAGCTTTTTTTAGGAGCAATAAAGTCAGAGATTGTAAGCAACGTATGTCCTAAAGGTTTTGGTAATAATCGAATTTTTTTTAAAGAAGAAATTTATCCCTTCACTTTTGGGAGATTCGGACATGATATTTCCTCCTCGCTTTCCGTTATTGTTCGATAAATGGTTCTGCCTGAAATGTTTTTATTCTAGAATTTTCGACAGAATTCAGCTTTGCGTACCCCAACCATCTTGTGGATACTTTCTCTTATTTCTAATTTGTACGACATCTTGAAGCGAAAACTTCAAAATAAATAAATGTCAACTGATAGCAAAGTAACTATGTTAAATATTCTCAACGGAATGAGAGCCTGCGGTGTGGAGAATAACTAGGTATATGGTTCTATCATATAGCATAAATGGTGATGATCAAATTGTTACGAGCAAATGTGACATAGCAAGTTTGTTTGTTAATTTTCTCACAGATAGTGAAGAAGATATAGCTAAAAAGCTAAGGAAAACGAAATGATTTATAGATATGCTAAGTGACGTATAAATACGAACACCCAGTTTAAATCGTTTTATTTAATAAAAGTTTGTATAAGTACTTAATGAAGCATAATAAGTAAATGATAAAAATTTCAAAATGATTGCACTGCTTTAAAACCCTTTGACCTTTAATAATGTGTGGATGCACCCTGATGTGCTACGCATTCTCCAACGCGCCTAGGCATGCTTCTGATCAGGTGGTCAATGTCCTCCTGTGGTATCTCATTCCAGGCAACCACCAACTCCTCTCGAAGTGCTTCTAGAGTCTGAGGAGGACGTTGCAAATTGAGCAATCTCCTCCTTGTAGGATATCCTTGTAGGATAACGCCAAGCCTCACACCGCAAGAGTGAACCGAGGAAAAATTTCTGAACTCGGCTGGCAAACGTTGCCGCACCCGCCATATTATCTCGACATTTCGCTCAGTGATTATCACCTTTTTTTGTCTCTTGACAACTGTATAAGGCACCGACAGTTCACAACTCGAGATGGTGTAATAAATGCAGTCCGCCAATTTTTTTACTCCAAATCCAGGAAGTTTTACAATACCGGCATACAAAAATTCTTTCCACGTTGGCAAAAGGACATTGAGTGTGATGGTAATTACTTCAATGAATAAATAGTGTCTTACTATTTCTCAATCAAAATTTATATTGTTCTATTAAAAACCGCACGAACTTATTTGGTTACCTCATAGCTAGGTACTAATTGATCTTATGAACGTTTTTGATACAATTGATCAAAACAAACTTTCAGAATCACAGGAAATAATTAGTTTCAGAGGAATTTCCCAAATTACTGAAGAACTATTTAAATAACAGATAATAAAAGACCATTGAATGCGGTGTTTCTCAAGGAACTGTGTTTACTCCAATATTATTTACCATATATCACTAATCTCAAACCAGAAACAGTATCAACATCAAGCAAATACCTTTTGCCTTAAAAAGTGTAGGTCAAAGATATCATACCTATCTTTCCAGTATGCTATATAACATATTACGATTTAAGAGATATTTCAAATAAAACTAAATTCAAGTTTGAAACAAAAAATTCATAATTGAGAAAAATCGACATGAAATTGCAAGGATGATATGAAACAAAATGAATTTCAAATATTTGAATGACCTTTTCGATATTGCATGTGTGGACAAGATCGTGAGGTTCGCGGATTACAGATCAATTTCATATAACGCAAATAACCTAGATACCCTCAAAAATGCTATAAATAGGATTTCGTGAAAATTATACAGTAGTTTTCCAGTAGACTACTGGCTATAAATTATAGCAAAGACTTACTTTGTTGCCTTCACATCATATACGAATTATTTACCTAATTATGCATCGATTTCATTCTCAGTCAAGCGAGGAGCAAATGTAAAGTGTTTAGGAATGTATGTTGACGAAAACCTAAAGTGGTATGTACATATAAATTATCCAGTGGACAAATTAAAATTTCTTATTTATAAATTAATATACTTTTCAAATATTCGTCAGGAAGATTATTTGAGAATTATGGAATATTAGTATTATGATCTGCAGGTAATTCAAAGATATATGCTAAAAACTATATCCAAAAGGCCTATACTATATGATTATGATACTTTTTACAAAGAAACTAATTTTTTGGCATACGACAACAAAATTTCTTCTATATTAATGTGTATACTAGCATAAGAACATTAGCGAACATAAAGACATTAAATATGAGCCACTCAAAAGCAAAGATCCTATGCATATCTAGCTCCAAAGCTGTAGGTATAATATCATCAATTGAGGATTTGATTAAATGTTCAACCTCGCATTGAAATTTATGAACGAGATTCAAATAATGAAGACTATTGTATACGAATAATTACTTAGTATGCTTTCTAAGAAATACATTCTAGAAGCTGACATTGAATGGAAAAATTGATGTAGGTGCAATACTAAGGGATGTCTGTTAAGTTTTGCATATGGAAATAAAACAACACGGTAGGTAGTCTTAAATGACTTTATTGTTTTTCGAAGTATTTTCTACGAAGATTAATACACATCTGCATGCGCTCGAACCAATTTTCGAAGCACTTATTCCACTCGTTTGCTGGCAGATCCAAAACGGCATTTTTGAATGCGTCAACTGCTTCTTCTGGTGACTGGAACCTTCGACCACGCAGTCTGTTTGTAATTTTCGGGAAAGTAAAGAAATCGTTAGGACTTAGATCGGGACTATATGGAAGATGGTTCAATAATTCCACGTTTTCTTCCGTTAAATACTGCCTTGTTTTTTGGGCTGTGTGCGAGCTTGCATTGTCTTGGTAGAGGATGATTCTTCTTTCGGGGTTGATTTTTCGAAGATCGGTGCTGACTTTTGGCAAACAAATGGTGGTATACCAATTCGCAGTAACAGTTCTTTGCTCATTAAGAGGAATTGTTGCAATATGACATGCTTTTGACACAAATGTCGCGACCATCGTTTTCTAAACACTTCCAGAACGGATTACTTTTGTTGGCTTTTCTTCACCTTGGAACACCCAAACAGCCGACTGTCGTTTATTTTCTGGTTCATAATAGTGAATCCACGATTCATCACCACTAACAATGCTGTAAACATTTTTTGAGTTTCCGGAATTGAAACGGTCAAGCAATTAACCCTGGCTGCTTTCTGCTCGTCAGTCAACAGGTTGGGTATCCAACGAGAAACTAAGAAGAAATTGTCGACTGATGTGGCGCTTCGTTGCCGAAAACAGACAGTAACTGAGCACGGTTGAGTTACATTTTTCTAATGAGTTGGTGACACTTAAAAATTCACTGTAGTGAGAATACTGCACGTATTGTTGTGAAACTTTGAATTTAAGTTTACTAAAGAGTGAGGTTAAGATTCAGTACTGACGTTCGATCCGCGCGGCCTACTATGTTTCTATATGCAAAACTTAAAAGACGTCCCTCGTAACCTCATGCACAGAGCTATTCTTCTATAAGGCTTGTATGCCCCTGCTGTACTCCGATTGCTTTCTGAATTATTTGAAATGTTTCTTACGTATGCATACAATGTTTTAAATAGCCCTACATACAAGCATTGCCTCCCATGGTGTCTCACATTTATTTACTTTATACGTTTATGTAGATTATTATAATTATAATTAGACTCACTGAGTTCCTTGGTTATACAAGTTCGCAGTTAGCTTCTGTCTAAAAGGGACTTACTTGTTGAACATAATCTTTTATGAATTGGTTGTAGCGTTTCTTGAGAACTACGGTCAACTTAATTGACGTTACATTTTCGCTTATGCTTGTAAATATAGAGAGAACAGTAATTGGAATCTATCAAATCCAATATTTACTCTTGTATGAGGAAGATATACGTTCGCATTTACTTAAAATAAAATCTAATGCCTGTGGGCATGATGGTATTACGCCTAATATGATAAAACTGTGTCTTCCTGTGACTGGCAAATATTTAACGCATTTGATTAATTCTTGTTTGGAACTTCACTATTTTCCCTCTGCATGGAAGCAAGCAATAATTGTTCCCTTGGCAAAAAATAATAACCCTTCAGCTTATTCCGACCTGCGCCCAATAAGTTTACTTCCGATACCATCAAAAATATTGGAAAGGATAGTACATGATCAATTGAAAGAGTACTGCTCTGGGAATAACATAATTCCAAAAAACCAGTCTAGCTTCAAAGTAGGGAATAGCACCACCACTGCCCTGCTTAAGGTGACTGATGATATTGTTGAGGTTTTGGATCGGGGTCAAGCAGCGGCTCTTGTACTGCTTGACTTCTCCAAGGCTGTTGACACTATCAATCATTCACTTTTGATCTCAAAATGCAAATATATTGGATTTTCTCAAGCATCTATCAAGTTCATTACTAGTTATCTCATGAATCGTATGCAAAGGGTACATTTGGACAACTCATATTCGACATATAAGAATGTGATATCAGGGGTCCCTCAAGGCTCTGTTTTAGGACCGCTAGCAAAAATGACTCTTTGTAGTAATTAAGTAGTAGTTTGTAGTTTAGATTAGTAACCGCCAGAAAAATTTTATTTGACGTGTTGCTGAATCGGTTTATATTTTCTATATTATGTCTTGCAATATTTTTGTTTTCCTTTGGTTAGCCACTATATATACACATGTTAATTACATGTATTTGCATTGGTTCACAACCATGAAAATAATAGGGTTAAGTGGAAGAGTAGCTATTTAGCTAAACTTCGCTCGATACTATGTAACTTTATAAATAAAGACGATTTATTATTATTATTATTATTATGACTTCCTCGCAGAACTTTCACCGCTTTAATCGAAAGTTCCGACGAATATCTTCTGAAATATCGTCCAGGATTTTCTGCGGTACTCTAGAAGGTAACGCCGCTGTCGACGTTTTCGCAGCACTTATCTCCGATAACGGTTCGGCGGCAGAACACTTTAATGCGCATCCCACACTATCACAATGCAATCTATAACACTTTCGGGCCGCAGAAAGGGGATGATTCCAGAAACCACTAATGTCAGTTGCAGCCGGTGCGCCGGGACTTTTAACGTTCGCTCGCGATCCTGCTGGAAGAATTGCGACTCGAGTAAATGAACCGTCGCGCTACTGCGAGGTTGAGTCGTCGCAGCAAATGTATCGAGCTGTTCTTTCTATTTGTCCATCACAGTTCCAATATTTATTGGAGCAGGATATCTATTGTGTCAATATTTTATTCGTCCATGAGGAGATAATGTTACAATAGAGAGAAGGCTGCGAGAGATGTGCGTGTGTGTATGAGATGTCGATGTATCGATGGACAATATTACGCTATGAAATGAAAGTATTATTTTTCAGACAAGGGAAATATTTTTGTTGATTTAAAGAAAGCTTTCGACACAGTTAATCACAAATTATTATTAGAAGCATTGGAGAGAATTGGTTTCAGAGGAAACGCGTACTCACTGATCGAAAGTTATTTGTCAAATCGCCCACAATCTGTGCAGATATCAGGATCATTTAGTAAAGAAATGTATATTAAGTGTGGTGCCCCACAAGGAACTGTCTTAGGTCCGCTGTTATTCAATATATATTTAAATGATATTTTCCAAATTAATTGTGTTGGCAAAATAACTAGTTTTGCAGATGATACTGCAATATTATATGAAGGCACTGACTGGTCTGATCTGAAAAATGTAATTGAAAATGATTTTATCAAAATTATTCGGTGGTTTAACAGTAGAAAATTAAGCATTAACTACTCTAAAACACATTTTTTACCGTTTGGATCTTATGCTAGACATCTGCCAAATTACACAAATTTCTCCTTCAATATTAATGATCAAAAAATGCAAATTAATAGAGTGCCCAACATAAAATACCTTGGAGTGGTCTTGGATCCTCACTTACGATGGGACATCCATGTCAATTATATTTTAAAGAAAGTTAGATTTGTATCCTACAAAATTAAATACCTTGGGAATATATGACAGAAAAATATCTTCAAACATTATGCACTGATTGAGCCTCATCTCACATATGGTATATTAGCATGGGGAGCTGCATGTTCCTCACATATCTATAATTTAGATGTTTTTCAAAAAAGTATTCTAAAAATGATATTTAAAAAACCGAAACTTTATCCCACTGAAAAATTATATGCAGATGTTCGAATGTATGATATAAGACAGCTTTATTTCTTACACAGTATCACTCACTAGCATAAATTTGTAAACACCGACCAAAAAATTAAACATAATCATTATACCAGATACAAAATTCGTGGCACAGTAGTTCCTCAACCGCATAAATCTATAATGCAGCGATCATATCTCTATTTAGCGCCTAAATTTTATGAAATTATACCTAAAGACTTAAAAGATTTACGTTTCGGAAATTGTTTCAAAAGAAATTTAAAAAAGTGGCTCCATTCTATATCTAGGACTGAAATTCATAAACTCATAAATACGAACATCAACTAAATACATAATCTACTGTAGCTAATTTTTGTCCTTTTTTGTCATTTGCATTCTACAGTTTCAACTTAAATTATTGGTCCATGTACAGGCGATGCCTTCTATTGGGCCTGTTTTGGTTTTATATTTATTTACTCATATTGTTTGTTATCTTTGTACATTGAGTAAATAAATATTATTATTATTATTATTATTATTATTATTCTGTATCCTGTGTAGGAGGAAAGACGATCTGCCACGGATACAGCACTTGAGGACCATTTGGTCCCTTGTACGTCTTTGCCAGGGTTCACTAGCCATAGGAGAGCAATGTTATCTCAGCGTGTATTCTCGATTTGACAGGACATCTAAGTAGCCGCAAAGCTTGAGTGTCTTACCTGCCTATTCACAACCTCTATGAAGACGTGTCAACCAGTTTATAAGAATAAATAACGTCAAAGTGGAAAAGGTATCGAGCATCAAGTACCTGGGATTAGTTATACGGGGTGTTCCCTAATGATATGCGAATATTTAAGGGTGTGAATCTACATAAAAAATTAATGTTAGTTTGATTTATAGACTATGGTCCAAAAATATGTCCTTACAAAAACTCGGGGTGTTGAAGTTTTAGGAAACTGGAAATTCAACACCCCGAGTTTTTGTAAGGACACATTTTTGGACCATAGTCTATCAAGCAAACTAACATTAATTTTTCATGTAGATTCACACCCTTAAATATTCGCATATCATTAAGGAACACCTTGTAGATGACAATTTGAATTGGCATAGTCACACTAAGTTTTTTTGGACAAAACAGCATCTCTGATAGCTGGTTTGTACAGAACTATTAACTATATAAGTAAACACTTATATAGTCAACGCCAAACAAAGTGGCGTGCACGTCATCAAGGTGGGTGTGTTGAAAAATTTACATTGTTGCCAAACTTTTTGTAAAATAATAAAATTTATTATTTACATATCTAGGTTTATAAGCAATATTAACCTCAAATGAGAACAAAAATAATAGTATAATAAAATTATAGATCTGTACTTGCAAAATCATTAAGTATGACAATTATTGATCAGATGACACTATGAAACTACCATATTTAATTGATAGCTTAAAGGTACTGAATAAAAATCCAAATGGGGTCCTCCAAATTTTATGCATGGTATTTATTTTACAGAATTCATACAGAAAAATGCATTCTAAAATTAGGTAAGCTACTGGTGTAATCTTTTTCTGTACAATAAAGTTAGTCGGAGCTTCTTTCTTCAGCGCTGTCTGAATCTGAATCTTCATCACTCTCAAAGTTGATTATTAAAGGTTCGATGTCTGGTCGATCAAAAATTCGTTCTCTTTCATACCATTTAAAAATTTCTTGCTCAGTATGTCGAACACTATTTTTCCACATGTCTGGGGTAACCGTTTGTAGAGCCTCGTTCCACATATCCAAACAGTCTTTTTCACTGTTACCATCTCTACCAATATGTCTGTTATAGTAACCTTTTGCTATGCCCCAAATTAACTCAATATGGTTAAAT